GAAACAGTACCAACTATATGCACAGTTTGCTTAACCTCAAAGACTCCAGTACACCCTTTCAGTTTAGACATATGCATATTGACTTAAGGCATAATACATAATAAGAATTGGATTTGGGGAAAGTGATGTGTATTGATGGACCAGAATCCTGTTTTTCAGTAGACAGCAATCTCTGCCAATAACATCACCCAAGACTTAGCTCTCTGTCTGCAGACTCCTTGCATAAAAGACAATAATCCTTCTGACACTGTTTCAAGACAAAGGAGTGTCCTTAAAATCCCTCAGCTTCCTTTCATTTCATTAGATTACTAACACACGGTTTGTGTTTATAGTCTCAGGGATACGTACTTGTACTTCATTAGGGTGAGATTATGGTGGCCCTGAATGTCCAGAGCACAACATTAACAAAATGCAAAAACATTAAGAAGAAGCAACAACAGAAAGACGATACAAAAACATCAAGACAAAAAATTAAGCAAATTTCAGTTTTAAATGTGTCTTTTCTTAATGTGTTGTGTTCTCTAAATATGTTACGCTTTTCAAGGAAGTGCTCTGTGCCACAGAGGGCAGTATTCAACTCTCAATATCATGCCTCTGACGCTGATATCTGCAGTAGCTGATTAGTGTCAACGGGCTACAAATTCAGAAAAAAACATAACCATGTGTTAAATAGTTTTTAGATTTAGATTGCTTATGAACAGAAAAAAACCATCACCTTATGTTTTGAGAGCAGTGTCACAAACAGACAATAAATGAGTCTGTTGGTGGACATAGTTGAGTGAATCGCTTTTATGTCATGGCTGTTTCATTTAACCCATGCAGCATACATAGGCATACATTGATTTTTGTCTTTATTTTGAGACTTGTGTTCAGAATAAAGAAAATGTCTGTATTGAATCGTTGTTGCACATTTGGAAATAAGAAAGTTATTTAAAAAAAACTGTTATATCACACATGTGGTTTTTATTTAAAACTGTATTCCCCCGCTACTCAAGCAAGCAAAATCATAGCTATCGGTGTGATAGTAGCACACTAGCTCACTGTTTCACGTTTGGGCCTATATCTCTGGAACGGTTAGCCATAGAAATGTTTTTTTCTTCACACATTCCCTGGTTCATGCCAAAAAATTATCGCAAATGGTATTATGAAGCCTCGCCTACTTAGATTGTTTGCTGAATGTTTTGCATGATGTGAAAAATCTACTGTTTCGTACTCATCCTAGAACATTCACAAAAAAATTTAACTGTAGCATCTTTAGACCATGCAGACAGGATTTTGATCAGGCAAATCGTTCCGATGTTACAGACAGAGGCATTTCTTGGGCGTGACCTATTTGCAGTTAACGAGCTATTTCTAATCAATGGGGCATCCAGTTCTCACCAAATTAAATGCTAAGCCTAGTTGGTATGACATTCCGGGGCAACTCGCCAAATTTCATAAAAAATCAACCAATGGGGGCTGCACCACAGAAAGCTTTATAACTCAGAAACCACTGAACACAAAAATATGAAATTTTGTGTGCGTGTTCATGGCCACACGTCCGAGCAAATCATGCAATAAAAGGTCACCTGCTCATCAAATTTCAACAGGCTATAATTATCCTTATTCATGAAATTTGGTGTAATGATACAATACTCCTTCCGCTACTCGGGCCAAAAAAAAAAGGCACAGGTTGGGCTTATTGTGGGGCTATAGTGCCCATAGACCATAGGCCCTTATACAGTAATGTAGGTGTTATACAGCCATACAAACGCAAAGTGTTTCCACATTTAATACACATTCATTTATAGACATTCCAATGGAACATTTGATGTTAAATGAGGCCAAAGCATCTTTTCAGGCCATAGTGCATTGACCCCATTAATTGCCACCTGCGGCTATAATAATAATAATAATAATAATAATAATTATAATAATAATAATAATAATAATAATAATAATAATAATAATTGTTGTTAAAATAAATAATAATAATAATAATATGTATTATGTAGTCATGTTATATTATATATGCTATAATATGTGTTCAAACACCAGCCTGGTAAAGGTATGAATGTAATCTAAGTTGGAAGCCAACAAAATGACCTGAGGTAACCTTATAATAATAGGTGCTGTCAGTGGCTGACATCCAGCACGTGCCCTGAAACATACTTTAAACTATATAACTAAATTATATGCTTTACCAGTGACTTTGTGTGCCTCTTAAATTAACAGTGTATTGTAATTGACAATAATTTATTCTAGAACCCTGTGAGGTCATACTCCTTGCCCAGACAAGAAAAAATAAAACTAGCAATGTTTTGGAACATGGACTGTTTTACAGTTCACTATACATACTTTAATTCAGTTTGTAAAGAAACATACATGCTACTCATAAACCTCTAACTTAAGAAAGCTTACTCAGTGAATGCTGAAAGGATTATTTATAAATGTATATTTGTGATTATGATTTTAAACCTTTCGACACTTGCGCCTCAAATGGACCTAAAACTCCAAATTCCAGCCACATTCATCACACAAGTCTAGAACTAAACACCGAAAAGCTTTTCTTACTTTTTGCTTGAAATGTAAGAATAAAAAGAATCGTAATATTACTACTATCTATCTGATTTTACTATCTCACAAACGAAAGAGCCCAAAACCAAAGTGTAACAGACAGGTGGCTGGAATGTGGATGGACAGACAAATTGAAAGACCACACTTTCCTTTTCTACACTGGCATTATTTGTAAAATGATAATTCTTTTTAGTGAAAAATTCTACAACTTTTCTGGTATATTGTTGTGAACCATACTATTTAAATCAGTGGTTCTCAACTGGATTAGCCCCAGGACATACATTTTTTCTTGATCATTAAGTCACAACCCAAAAAGTTGTTGACCTGCTGAGGGGAAGGTTGGGCATGTTAAAAGTTGTTGACTGGAGGGGTGTGGCACCAGTAAAAGTACCTTTTTTTTAAAAAGCACACACTTCACTTCCCACCAGTTGAGAATCACTGATGTAAAATACATACTCAACTGAAGACTTTTAAAAGTACATTTACCTGCTTGCATATTTAACAGTGAACTGACAGAATTTCACCTACAGTCTGACATTGTCTGTCAATGCACAAAGGCTCTATTTACGGTATTCACAGGTTATATATACCTGGAAGTGACAGTCAGAGAAAGTGGTATGAAGCTGTTCACCCTCAGACAAATGTCAGACAACATTTCCCACAAGGAATGCAGTATGCAGCACAAAATTGTAAACATGGTATTTACTCGTGTACAGAGCTGTAACACAGTCTTCACTTACACACAGAAGTAAGAGCATAGTATTCACAGGCTTATCACTACATGCATCCTCGAGATGGATACCACAGTTAAACCTCTGTGCACTGCTCCAACACCAAACTCCTGCTCTCCATGTTACAGAAATGCAGGCGGATGTTTCGTTATAACTCTGGGGTCTATGTTAGAGCCTCACTGCTAACCTGTGGCATGCAGGACCAACTATGTCTATGTTCCAGTTAGTCAATACGCCTGACCATGGATGCAGGATGGTCATAAAATCATCTACTAGACCTTGTGCTGGGGTGTGGGAACAAGAGGGATTTGTTGGCAGGAAGCTGCTTCATACATCAGAGCTGTCCCAAACGGGCTTCTTGAGTCAACGGACAATAATCCAAGCAAAATGGATCATTTCCAGTGTACTCATAACTATTCAGACGAAAACACAAGTTGTTATCAAAAACTTTTGCAAAAACCAGTCCCATAGGACAGAGGCTTTGGGGGAGTGACAAGTAAAAGTCATGACCTCAGTAGACTCACTACATAAAACTGAACAAGACTATTTTAGTCCTTAATTTGTGTTTATTGAGAGAGAGAGAGAGAGAGAGAGAGAGAGAGAGAGAGAGAGAGATGTTCTTTCCATCCAATCTGAATATTTTTAAGCCAGAAACACAACTGTCTCAGAAAACTGAACAAAAAGTATTATATTCCTGAAGCTGAGTTTATTAAGAAAGACAGGGAGGGAGCAGTATGATTATATCCATGCAGTCAGTTTAAATAGTCTCGTGTTGTAATACAGTTAAAGCATTCATGAGGAAGCATAGAGAAGACAAGGTGTGCCCTGGACTCCAGTCTATTACAGCACACTCACGGAAATTGCTAAATTCACACACAGCTCAGTCACCAGGTCACTTGAAGAGCAAGTCTTGTGAATCCAGAGGGAATCCACAATAAAAAACAGGAATCTGCAAAATTCTTATGTCTGAAAATTTACTACAGACAGATAAAGTAACCATACTAACTGGTTAAATAGTTTTTAGACTATTTAGGGTGAGATAAAGATTTTTTGTTCAGTTTTTAAATGACTGGTCTTAATTTATTTGCAAGTCGAAACAGTGATATTGAGCGTCCATTAATTGCATTAGCAAGCCAAGTAGGCCTAATGAAAACTTGGCATGCCTTTTATATATTTTAATGACTTTGATTACATATATTTAGATAACTGCATGCTTTGTTGTATTTTATTATTCAAATTATACCTCCAGTCTATCACGATCAGAACTCTCGGGAAGGATGAGGCAACCCGGAAAAGCGGAGGGTGCGGAACAAACGTTGCGGCTGACTGGGGATCACGCCCCCCGGCTGGCGGAGCATCGCAACTTCAGGCAGATACTGTAAAACTTAACAGCTGCCTTTCGTCTCTGCCATGTTTAATGTCCTTTTGAAACACAATCATTTCATTTTTTTTCACACGCTTTGTGATTTAACAGCTTGGTGTCTAAAACCTACACGGCCCAAAATCTGCGATGTGGTGCGATGTGCCCGAGTAGCTGTCACACAAAAGAAGTTCATAAAGCACGTTAAAATAGCCATGGAATAAGCGCTGATGGATTTGCAAGAAACATATGGTCAATCTTATAAATGTTGTACAAGAAATCTGATGCATCGTCTTATTGTGTTTAAGCAAGTGTTACAATATGAGAAAAATAAAAAAAAATCTGTAACGTACCATATTGCCGAGAAAATCAGATTCATTCAAGTCCTCAAGGTCCAACAGGTTGGAATTAGGGAAAAGTTTCTCCGAGGTGAAATGGTCCACAGTCGTGTCCATTGCAATATGTTTCCTTTAAATGTTTACTACACCAGACCGGTGTTTAAATATATAAATAGATTTTAAAAATGTTGTTAGTCAGTACGGTTTAATTGTGACTGATTTTATAGTTTGTGCATTTGCTACCGTCGCTCTCTAAATGACTCACTTTCTCCAGATACCGCCGTGAAATAAGTTCATAAGGATAATAAAAGCTGTTTATATTTTCTGCCTGTTCTGAAAGGCAGACCGCTCTTGTCTTTCTGTCAGGTCTGTCATGTCCAGCTGTGGGCTATCTGCAGGAGACAAACCTCTAGATTAATATTTATGTTGTCACCTCCTTAAACTCGTTTTCATTACTCCACAGTCTCCTCCCATTCCATTCCCCTTAAAGCCAGAGAGCCGCATTTTCGGGAGTCGATGATTTCTTCACCAAGCACACAATGTCAAACTGTACTTCACTGAACTTTGCGATATCTTTCTAAATTTCCTCTGGTGTAGGATTATATTACTTACTCTGTATACATAGCAGAAAGTATGTAGGCCTAATTGATTTTAAGAGATCATTGTATCATTTATGAGTTCATCTATTTTGTTATACAAAAGAATCTAATGTTAAAACGCCTTTATTCATCTCAGTTTCTTTTCTTCAATTAAACGCTGTTACTGGAAATAAACACGTCGTGTCTCACTGGGACTGTCGTGTAGGTTAAGCTGCAGTATTCGTGGCCATGAAAACACTGGACTGACAATGTTAATACCAAGCAAAAATCCATTTCCCACCGTTTTGCTGAGGACTGTAGGGTCCTATTGGTATTCTATGGACTATTCAAAATACTTGAAATAATTGATTATGTAAAACGTACACACACTTCAAAAAATAGAGAGGACAATGATCAAAAGATCAGTCATGTACATCTTATTTAATGTGGCACACCATTACACACTGTGACTATATTTGTTACAAAGTATCATGTATAAAGTGTGTGTGTATGTGTGTATATATATATATATATATATATATATATATATATATAGAGTGAGGTTCATTGGGTATCACTATCAGCTTCCACCTCCAGGGCTGGGGGTTTGAATCTCTCTGGTTCCGTGTATGCGGAGTTGTTCTTGGGATCTGCCCCTATAATATATGTAATACAAGCAGATATAAGATATACAATACAAGCTGATCTCTTGAACTTTTAGTTCTATTATATCTGTTAAGTTCATAAAACAGTACATATTGCCCTGGGTCTGTGGTATTAAATGTCCCCTCCGTCATTCTCTGCATCATGGAGTTCACCATTACCCTATGCTGCTGGGGAAGTAATGGAAAATACATAGATGGAATTTTACTAATTCTTTAATGTAAAAACGTTTTAGCCCTGCACAAAAACTTAATCAAGGTATTCATTGCAAAAGCAAGTTTCAACTTCAAGCCTCTAATTGATGGATGTCTGGTCTCCTGTTGTTATAATTATCAAGCATCATCATTTTGACCTCCTTCCTGATTACAAGATCTGGGTCTCTTCAAAGAGTAAATCATAAATGTTTCCCTATAGTCAAACAACCATAAAGTAGGAGGAGTCAACACATGAATGGTCTGATCCAGAGACCTGCATTGAGACTAAGCACAGCTGTTAAGCTTGCTAGGATTCACTGGCCCTAGAGGCTTAAGTCGTCTTCGTTATATTCATTGTTTAGTTTTTATGACAGTCTCAAATCTGAGTAACTTCCATTCTAGTGTTACAAAATTGTAGAGTTTCATTATCCAATTTCTGTTTACCTTCTCACTCTTGTAACAACCAAACACATATAACAATCTATGTGCATATTGTAAAGAATGAAACAGACGTATATGCCAAGACAGAAAAGGAATGAAGGTTTTCTCCGATATTGTAATAGTTCTCTTGTTTCTTCTTCTTGCCACTCAACTCTAGACTTGGAATTAATTAAACTAATGGAAAACAAGCATTATAAACCATTTATAGCCAGACATTGTGAGACAATTAGTACCAGACTAGCAAGGCAATAACACCATCAGACATGACATGAGATTTTCAGCCATGCTCTGGGAGAACTTCAAAGAGCGAAGAGATGACCTCACCAGCAGCATGATAATTGTTTCAGGAGTTCTAGTGCTACAATGCAATGGATGAGATTTACAGTGGAGTGAAATTTGTTCAGTACGATACAGGAAGTAGACCTATAAATGTAGTTCTGTAAAAACAAACATTTGTCCAGTTGCATATTTGTTACACATTTAAAAGGGACAGGCTGTAGGTTTTAATGGCAACACTAAAACACTCGCATGCTATGATGAAAGAAAAACATCTACGCTGGAACTGCATGAGAGTGGAGAACATGCTCAGCAATCTTGACTTCGTTCTCCTGCCTCTGCAATTCTCCCCTGAGGGACCCGGCTTCAAACATTCATAATATTTTAATCTTTAGTCCTCCAGGTGGGGATAACCCCTTGGATACTGTCAGCTGTCCTGAGGATATTTAGCAGGGCTGGAGATCTTACTGCGTAATGACTCCATCTGGGATGTGCCGAGATGAATCAGAAAGAAATAAATGAATTCACACTCTGGCTGCTCCCCGTGGTCCCGTGAAACACACTGGTGATGATGGTGGTGATACTTAATCATTGCACTTCCCAAAATTCCCAATGCCTCTCATGTGTCTAAGTAAACGTCACTCTTTTCCTACCTGTCAGCAATCCTCTACAAACCTTCCTGACCTCATTAGAGCAGCTCGCGTCGGGTTTATTTTGTAAAAGTAGCTAGACCTGGTAATCTGTTACCTCTAAATAAAAACATGCCACTGACTCAAACCCCTGACTACTCACCGTTTTTCAGGCGGTGTCAAATGTACAAATCTAAGCCAATTCATCCTTCTGCCAATATGTAGTGCTGTTTGTTTCATATAGTAGTCTTTTTTCTTTTTGGAAAATGGAAACGTCTTGAACTTAAGCTTCTCGCCATCGACATTTTAGTCCAAGCTACAATGTGTTATGTAAAATTGAAGGATATCAAGCCAAACACCATGACCTGCAATGAATTCTGGGAAATGGATAGATGATCGCAAGAGTAGCATGGCTATGTTGTTGCCGAGGAACAAGCAAAGGGCATCTCTCTCCTGTGCCTATCACTTCTGATTACTTTAAGTCTGCATGTGACAGAATGGCAGATGTGTTTGAGGGATAAGATTTGCACGTATCCCCTTTGGCTTCTTGTTTTGTTTGCTCTGCATCCAGAGGTGAAGGATAGGGCAATGTTATTTGTTTCTAACGCTAACAGGAAAGCCTCCCGTGAATTCACACGTCACACAATGACAAACTCAATAGGCCCGAATAACAAATACATTTCCTATAAGTGTGTCAGTGTTTTTGTGTTGCTCATCCTGTCTTCCATCTTTTCATTTTCCAGCGATTAATTAATTAGAGTTGCTTGCTAGACCGTCTTGTGCATTCGCACAAATTTGTCTGTTTATACACCAGACTATTTTAGGGAAGGGATTGCATTTTCCCCCAAATTCAGTTCTGTTAACCACAATCACATGCCCGTAAGTATTGCTTTTTCTGGATTCAGCTCCCGATTCTGTCTAATCTACCTTCTATTTACTGACAAGGGCAATTCTCTGTGGATGACTCCTCAACACTCCCTATAGATGGAAACACTCCATATCCTAGGTTCTGGGCAGCCTGCATATGACTCGTATTAGCAAGTGAGTCCAGGTATCTTGCGGAATAGGGGACTGTGAAGCCTGACTGTGAAGTTCACACAATAACCCTGGTGCCTTATAAATATATATTTTTTGAATGAATGAATGAATTTATTCTGGTTCTTTTACAATAACATCAAAATCATAACAACAGATTCCACCTATTACAAGTCCATCCTTATGCAAATAAAATCCAACAATATCTAAAAACTAGAAAGATGTAGGCTGGTTCTCCTAACAGTACCATCCACAATCAACGCTTGTTATGTTCCTGTTTACTATATTCAGCTCTACGCTCATCCAAACGTATCTTTATTATTTCCTCTATTATTATTTTACCAGTGTGTTACTAGAGGTGACAATCATCCACCATGACTTGTACTCTTTGTATGCAGACACAATCCTTTATGCTACTGCGTAGAAAAGATATTAATAATAATTCACCAATTGACATAGCCATATGAGTTACCGATCAGAGGTCAGACTTCATGATGTAGAAGATTGCCTTTGTTGTAGCCGGCACCGTTCGTGATCTATTACATGCCAGATCTCATTTCCACGGGGTTGGTAGGAACGTGGAGAGCAGTACAGCATTTGGTAGAGTGCCATGCTTATGAAGTGCTGTCTGTTGTTTGGGATGCCCGTGGTGTAATTTGTACTGCAAGCAACTCACCCATTCGGATTCTTCCGCCGAACGTCCCGGCAGACTCACTCAATAGTCTGTAATTATGGGCTGAGCAAAGAATGGGATGTGATTATACAGTAAGAGCCACTGGGACAGAGCTGTGGTATTACACTCGGCCAGTCTCACCATTAAAGGCCATGGTTCTCCTCCCACCTACACCCCCCCCCCTGCCCTGTTCCCCACGAAACCAGATGGCCATGGGTTAACGCTGTAGACACACATCTTTCTGGGTCCATGTGGCTTCTCTAAAATAGCCTCCGGAAAAAAAAAAAAACTCAAATACCAAAACACTAAAAGTAGGTTAAACAAAGAAATTTAACATGAAATGATTCAAAATATAATATCAATCTCACAGGCATAGGAAAGAAACACACAAACCGATCCAAAGTGACCTCAGTAGAAATATGTAAACTGGAATGAGCGAGCCTGACACTAAAATGTAAATTACTATCCAAATATTTATCACTGACTATGATTTTGTTTAATAATGCTGAAACACCAATGGACCCAATTTGCTTAGAAGCAGCATTATAAATCTGTGATAAGACTTTCATTATTTTTAGCATTAGCTTAGATCTGGGGAAAAAAACACAATTCCAATTACATGTATGTAACCAAAGCATGGCAACATTTCCATGGGAAGATGAGGGTGATGTATCACTGCGTCAGGGGGGCTGGTCACCCTCAGCCTGACCCTCCCTCTGCAATCAGGACGACACAGACATTTTCACCTCATTTACTTGTGGAAACAGGGAAAGGTTTATATGAATAATGAAGGTTTATGACGTCAAGGAACACAATATAACTGATTCTGTGACTCACCAATCTTTTCCGGTCGGGGCCAAGGTTCTTAAAGCATCCCTACGCACATTCCCGATGGATGACATCTTG